CAGTTCCTTTAGAACTCTAGGGTGGAGATCATCCGAACCGGCTGACTTGAAAACGTCCAGCCCCTCCAGAAGCTCCCTAACTAAATCCTCGCTAACCCTTGGCCCAGGTGTGCCACCCCCGGGGCCCGAGGGGGGCCCAGCAGGGAGGTGGCTGTTCTGGTCCCTACTTAGGAAGACGGGGGCAAAGAAATCATTAAATATGTTAGCTTTGTCGTCTGGTGTGACGACCAAATTTCCCAATGCATCCTGCAAGGGCCCCACATTACCTGGGACCTTCTTTTTACCCCCTATGTATTTAAAAAAGGACTTCTTATTGTCCTTAATCTGGGAAGCTAGTCCCGGTTCCATCTCTGCCTTGGCCTTCCTAACTACCCCCTAAAATGCAAGTGTCTACATGTTAAAGCTTGTTAAATCAGGCTAAGTGTCCTCTGAATGTCTCAAATTATGCTACTCCAAGCATAATTTATCCAGGGCTGTGCTACCTCACTTGTGTTAGGGTAACTTCAGTCTACTCTGTGGAGATAAAATGAGCAACATGCAATCCTCATGCATCCCAGAATGCACTGCTCTTAGTACCTCTTCCCCCTCTCTAGCAGTTAGACCTAGGCATCCTGCTTACTAGCCCTTTCATGGCAAGTCATAGTTTCATAGATGTTAGGGGCTGGAAGGGACCTTACAGATCATCAGGTCCAATCCCTCTGCACTTGGGCAGGAAAGACTGCTGAGAGCAGACGACCCCAGGAAGATGGGCATCAAGATGCCTCTTGAAGATCAGCAGGTTGGGTGACTGTCCCACCACTGGAGGGAGCCTGCTCCAAAACCTCAGCACTTGACTTGTAAAGAAGATTTTCCTTATGTCGAGCCTGAAGCAGTCTTCAATCAGTTTGTGCCCATTATTTCTTGTCCTCCCCCAGGGTGCCTTGGGGAATACATGCTCCCCCAGGCCATGATGTACACCCTTGATATACTTGTAGGCTGCCACCAAGTCCTTTCTGAGTCCTTTTCCCCAAGTCTTTCAGTCTCCTCATATGCCCTAGTCTCTAGGGCTCTAATCATGTGCGTGGCCCTCCTTTGGACTCTTGAGCTTCTCCACATCCTTCTCAAAGTGCAGCACCCAGAACTGGACTCAGTACTCCAGCTGCGGCCTGACCAAGGCTGAGCAGAGAGTTAGGATGATATCCTTAGTCTTGGCTGAGATGCCTTAGTGGATGCATGCCAGTGTTCGATTAACTCTGCCAGCTACAGCATCACATCAGTAGCTCATGCTTATTTTGTTGTCAGTCATGACACCCAGGTCTCATTCAGGGTTCTGCAAGCAAGAAATGATATTAACCCTTAATGTACAATTGCTCACAGCATGTTCTAACTTTAACACTATTAACTTTATTTGTTTAAACTTTAACACTTATTTAACTGTTTAACTTGCTGCAGATTTAGTATGGTCTAAGTGTAACATGTAACTTCACCCTAAGCTGTACTTGACTCATACCATTATACTGATCCTAATCATTCTAATCAACACATTAATTGTACCCCACAATGTGCTGGAAGGGAATGGAGTCTACAGAGAACGGGGATAATTTGTTCTATTTAGCAGCAAGACAGTGGTATTCTGCAGTAGCTGAAGTTTCAAGTGGCCTTCGGGCATAGCTCCAATATAGAGGAAGTGGCCATAATCAGTTCTGGAAGTGATAACGGCATGGATAACTGCAGGGAGGACTGTGGGGGACTGGTTATTAAAGCTAGAGGAACCCAAAACAAATGCAAAGAAAACGGGAATATTTGAAATGCTGAACACTTGAAAGTGCTTCTTCTGCTAAAGTTAGTTAATATTTTACTAAAAAAATTACTGAGGAAATTAAATTTCCTCTAAAGGGTTACTGGGGAGTAAATGCAAACATTAAAGCACAGAAGTCTTGTTTTATGTGACAATCTCAATGCAGTCATAACACGAGAATGATTGTGAATGCCTCCATCATCTGCAGCTGTAGAAAGGACTGGACAAGCTTTTCAAAAATGGGTTCCTGAAGTTAAATTCCTAAGTCACCGGTGCGTAAAGTCTACTGGATAGTCAACACTTTTGAAAATCAGGCCACCTTCTTATAGACCTAAATATAAGTCTAGGATCTGCATAACCATTAAGTAAAAAACAATCAGAGCCCTCCTTCTGGCTATATTATATTAATTATTATATTAAATAGTAATGTTATTGGAGGTATTCATTAGGCACCTATCACTTTTGTTTCCAAATACCAATAGCTTCATATGCGTTCTGAGTTCTAATTCATCATGCTGCAAAGAGCTTTGAGATCCTTGGGTGAAAGCACCACAGATCTTTCCCAGACCTCTCAGACTCTTAAAAACCCGCCCAGCTCCTTCTTCCTTAATATGACTTACAGCACATGTTCTCAAAAGAAAGTATATGCCATTCTCTTTTATAACCTGGTGATCAGCTTCTGTCAATCACAGTTCTTTCCCTCCACGTACCTTCTACTATTTTTGTTGATCCCATCACTGTGTTCCTACATGATGTGTAGTTTTAAAGAAAATAATACCTCATCTCTCACTTATTAGAACTGATTTTACTTTATTGGTCACTGAACATTTGCTTGTTTCTTGTACAATTGTGTAACACTTTTTTTTTGAAAATAGGATTTTCTTGAAAAATGAAAAAGAAGTGCAGATTGAGAGCCTGGGGTCACAAAAAAGGGACGAAAAAACACTGAGACAATCTTCCAGCAAGGTCACCATAAAAGGTAGGCTCTGGCTTTTGTTGCCTATTTGATCTGTCCAGAGCTTTTTCATTTACAGAACAGCTGGTTTACAGCCTTGGTGCAGAGCAGTGAATAATGTGGAGTTCCTCATTAACTCCACTAAATAAACAAACCAAAATGTTCTTGTGACTGCAAAGGTATAAAAAGCTTTGTGCACATGGAGATGAGAGGCTGCTGCTTACTGTAGAAAAGCATGGCTGGTTTGAAAGGTCCAATTAGCAGGTCTCAGGACGCTCAGCTTACAGAGCTGGGTGAAATTGGAGTCGAACTTCTGCAACAAAACTCCAGTGCACTGTTGCTCAATCGCTGGCTGGAAAATTCAGTCGAGGAGAAGCAGGAAACAAAAAAGGATTAAAAAAAAAGCAGACAATAAAACCTCCTCTCTCCACATGTTTTCATTTACAGACTGACATTAAAGCCCACTTAGTAGTTTTCATTTACTTTCAGGCAAGACCTTGGCTCTAAGTTTTCCCACTGAAGCTGTAACTTCACTCCCAGAGAATAATGTTGCTAATCCTGCATGCACAAAAACGCTGCTTTTGGATTTTTAAAAAAATCTTAATGTCTAAAAAGTGAAAATGGTGTAGCTGTTTGGCAGAGCAGTCAGGGAGACTAAATGGAGCATATGGGAACATTCAACTTTTCAAGTGAGGAGGAGGGAGGAGGAGGGAAGCAGGTTGGACCCGTAAGTCTGTAAAAACAGCCTGCTGCAAAGGGAAAGCAAAGGTCTGGAACTATCAACCAGGCAAGGATCCCTTGACCTCAGGGATTATCATGGATACAGTGGTGCAAGGGAAGCAGGATCTAGTTCCACTTGTGCAAAAATGTTTGCTGCTGGAACCACAGACCTAGGCCTGAACTGCCCTCTATTACCACTCTGATATTCATAGACGTACTAGCATCAAAACCCCTCCAGGTGCACAATGTGGGGTGTGAGAGATCAGGAATGCCATTCCACATGAGATAAGGTCTGACTCCTTGCTGGCCAGGTGTTTTTGGTAGTCTAATGCTTCAAGCTGTTGCTGTGTTGCAATAAATCAAAGACACATCCAGTCTATTCATCACACTGATCTGTACCTGTCACCAAATTCTCCTCCTCTTCCTGATGAAGGCAGGAGAGCATTCAGGTGTCTTCTTGTTTGTTCTACTTTTATCTTTCCTGACTCATTTTAGACTGGTCACTGCTTACCTATACTGATAAGGAGATGAGACAGGCTTGTCTTTTCTCTGATGGCAGCAGACGGGGTAGAGGTGCACCTTATAGGCTTCAGACTAAAAGGTCTAACTACCGCTCTCTTTTCCACTCGTTTCTCATGGGATATAACGGCAACAACTATAATGATCTAATATCACAATGCTTCCTGCACTGTTTCAGGGTGTTGTAAAAATTTGGAGACAGGAAGAGAATCTCCAAATTCATGCATTATGGTGCCACACGTCAGTGCTATTATTATAATTAAGGCTTCCTTACAGCTGTCAACCCCCTTAGCCATTTTTGCAGGCACCATTGCTTCTTGGGATCTCCAGAAAGTAAATGTTCAAACCAACCTGAGAGTGGTGACTAGGAAGGCTGTATAAAGATGAAAACCACATATTCAACAGAAAGATGTAAATACCAAGCACAGAGCTGCAGCCAGGGGCACCCATGCTGCATAGAGGTGGGGACATGAAGTCAGAGAAATTTTGTTTGAAAAACACTGATTCCTCACTGCATATGGCAAATCCCTAAGCCAGGTTCACCCAAACAGCAGTAAGAATAATGCACCTTTAACTGAGATTGTCAGGCAGGAGGTATTATAAAAGTGCAAAGCATTATTATCATCATCAATGGTTTTGGCAGCTGTGCAAACATAGGGAACCATCTGCCACTGTTTTATACGTGCATAGGAGATCTGGGATAACAACAGGGTCAAAAACATGATCTTCCTAAGTAGGTGAGGGTGGCTCAGGTCCTAGCTGTGCTGACCACTGATCTGTGGGTTAGGGATATATGCCTGAATCTCTCTCCACAGACTCCCCTCTAACAGGCATTAACCGGTTACATCACTGGGTGTTATGGCTATGCCTCTTGTATCCCCAAACCCCACCTGCAGTCTGTGTAGTTTTGGGGAGGATAGGTTGACATATAGCTTTGTGGTGGGTACTGGCTTCCTCCACAAAATCCACCACGGAGACTGTGTGTGCAGGAGAGCAAATGGCACATAGTACTTTTGCAGCCTAACCCACCATAGCATTGCTCCAACTCTTCTATTCTTTTGTTTCTGCTTTGCTGGCACTGGGTTTCAATATGTCACATCAACCTGTGCCACATTGAAGCATGTCATACACTTATAGTACAAAATACCACGTCACGTTTACTATGACAAATATACATTTATCTCAGACAGCCAGTTGTTATCAATTCATATGTGAGAGATCAAAATCCAGGCTCGCGGGGAGCGAAAGAAGCTTAGCAACATGCAGAAAACAGGGGGTGGGGTAGTTTCTATTACTTATAGCTGGGTTATAATTCTGTGTCAGTGGTGCTGTCTTGCAGGGGGTTACAGCAAACTCTGACTATTTATTCTTGTAAGAAGTCTAAACTACTTGTGCAACATAATGGAAAATGCACATTATAAGGAAAAAGAGAATGCTAAGGTAGAAATTGATCTATAAATCTCAGTAGACTAAATCTCAGTGAACACTTAGCATTTATATGGTGCCTTACATTTTCAAAGCACTGTACAAACATTAACTAATTAATTCTCATGCATGATTTATTGTTGAAAACAAAATTATAACCCTTGACACCTCAACTTATCAGTGAATCTTTTGCCTAATTATTAAACTGGGTGCTGTGAAGTATGCATATATGTATATATTAATCAATCCATAGAGCCGTACAATTATGGAATACAGTCCACTCCACTGCTTATGTATATAGATATCACCCAACTACGCATTGACTCCACCCAATGGAAGCGTGTACTGTTTATGAATGATTGAGCTAAATGCTTATCTAATTGTGTCACATCTATGTTGTTATTGGATGAACACAGAGATAAAATGCACCGCACGCATGGAATGTGAAAATAGAGCTCTTTCATGAAAAGTCATATGGACTGCTTATTCACTTGTGTTACTATGACAATACCATGCAAATTAACCTGTTGACTCATTGCCACCAGACATCAGAGGTCAAGTTAGAAGTCAAAGAAAGAACCAGACAATTATAGAGGCAATGAGAACACCCACAATTCCAGCAGATAGGATAAACTAATTATAAGGGATATAAAGCCTCATGCTTCAGGGTTTAAAACCAACCATTAACTGATGGAAGTTAGGACATTTTTTTTTCTCATGAGCAGATTATTTCATAAATGCCCACAGTGACGTTTCTTGCAACTTCCTCTGAAGTATTCTGTACTGACTGCTGTCAGATACGGGATACTGATCTACATAGACCACAAGTGCAACCTGGCATGTAACTTCCTCTGTTCGCAAAGAGCAGCTAGCCATAATTATACAATATTCATTGTGAAAGTCAGAATCAACTGAAATCAAAGTAAAACAGTAATTATTTTTACGTTTTAAATGAATGTGCAGTAATATTGATATTTTTAATAATTTAACTGAATTTTTAATCAGAAATGTGTTCATGAAATGTGACACCAGGGTGCAATACAGTAAAGTAGTTTAATTCATTTTTTTAATCTTTGCTGCTTAAAATGCAGTAATCATGTTACAACACAATGGTTTTTATACAGGAATTGTTAAATGCTCTTTAGTGTACTATATACTTTTGAGCTACATGTATATTTTAATAATGTGGAGTGAAAAATTTATAGGAAACCTCTTGGCATCTTTTCAAGCATGAAACCGCCTTACTTCAAGTGAAGGCATACCCTTCATATGTGCATTAATACTATGATGGCTCCAGAACTATCCAGATAAAAAGCACACTGTATATACACAAAAGAAGAGAGGTTATTTCTACTTTATATTCATAAGCTACATGCAGTTTTCTATTAAACTCTATTCTCCTGATGTCTCTTACTCTCTCCCCTTTCGCATGCGCAACGGCACAAATAGTATTTCATACACAAATGCTCCGCACTTCTAAAACTATAAACTTTTTTCACCTGCAAGCTAAATTAGAAATGATAGCCCCAGAGGCTAATTACTAATAATCTCTTTATACACATTGCAAATAACAATACATAGTTTCATCGCTAAATACTAAGCCTGTAATTTAATAGTAATGTTCCACTGCCATTTATAAATTGCTCCAGCTTTTAGGATGCCAGCCTAGCACCTTCTTTTGAAAGGCAGGCTGCTATTCAACCATAAAACATGCATTATTCTAAATGCACAAAGCCTGTAAGGCAGTATGCACATGAACATTAACCCAAAGGGAAGATGTTCTTTCTGGTGAGACTTACTGATGCAGTTCACCAGGATGAGACATGTTTCCAGGACAACAGGAAAGGTGGGGGACAGCCTACCTGCCTTTTATTTGAGGGCAAAAGCATAAGAGAACATAGACAAAACACATTTGAGATCAAAGGGCAGCTTTCTCTTATTTCTATTGAGATATCCCATACTTTGTACGGAGTGAGAAGAAAAACGTGTCTTGAGTTCTAGAGAGTCTCGGAACGTGAGCTATCACCCTTCCAATAGGGCGGTGTCTTCATGTGATACCCTTCATTTTCATAAGCAGCATAAAATTACAGCTGGAAAGACCATAAGCTTGCAAGCTCAGGGGAAGCTTAAAGAAAGCCAATGGGAAAGAATTAGGTCAATGAGGGGAGAAAAAAAAATCCCAGACAATGAAAGTTAAAGGAGGTAAGTGACAACATGGAGAAGAAGAAAAAGATAAAGAGATGTTATTTCTTAACGGTGCTGTAGATTTTTTTCTCCAAGTCCCCAACTTAGTTTAGCAAGAGCACAGTATGGAGTTATGCCTCTCACTGCAGCCTCTCTCACGCAGCGATAAAATTCGGTTTGCAGTTTGTCACATAGCTAAAAGCCCCACTATTTCCTGGAGAGAGGACCAGAGAGAACTAATTCACAATTAAGAGGACTGCAGAAGACGGTTCACCGGCTGTAATTCCTACCCAGCACCATCCCACTTACCTTTAGTGTTGTTCCCGCTTCTGATGCTTGCACTGTCACTCTCGCAAGCAGCTCCTTACATGCTGGCTTCCAAGGGAGAAGGCCTGGGTGATATGAAGTCTTCCTTCATGCTCACTTCATGCTCACACTTACAGAGGAAAAGTCATTCTGCACAATTTGAGAATCTCAGCCCCGTGCCTGGTTTCCAGGGAACAAATCTGTCAGAAGAACAGATTCTAATCAGATCCCCTCTCCTCAAACTGTCGCAGCAATAAACTGTGTGCGACTCAAAACTTATAACAATTCAGCTTTGTCTTCCCAAGAGTCAAAACTTGTTTGCATACTAAGACACATCATTAAAACTGCCATGTATAACAGCACCATCTAAGTCTGCCAGATGAGGATCTTCGCATGGCGTCAACGGTGTGATCAGCACAAGGCCCACATGGAGTCGATGGTTTGTTGAGGGAATCATGAAGGAAGTGAACAGAGTTACTTAAGTTATCATTACCAGTTGATTTTCTTTTGGTCATGCACGAGTAGCTTTTTGACAGGCATTAGGCTTACAAAGATATTATTGTAAATGCTCAGTACTTCCATGAGTGACCAGTAGCAAGAAGTTTGTACATTATTGCTATGTCAATGGCACTAGTTACTCTTGTAACAGTTGGAGGAGATGCAAAGGATGGTACTTGCTACAGTTCAAGTTTCGCTGATTTATGTGGGAGTTAGCGCTGACACCTTCCTGCTCCTTGGGGGATTTCTTTTCCAGGTCAGTTCCCAAGCAACATATCAGCGGCAGTAGCATTAACAACGTTGTCTCTTTTTTACCGACCATAGACAATTACAACAGACTCTAAAAGACCTATATAAAAGGGAAGAAGTTGTAGCTACTAATGTTCCTCAGAAAGTTGTTTGATTATGAACTGATTTTTATGCCAGGCTAGTAACGCAGAAGGGTGTCAAAGGAGGGGTGACTGTTAGGACTACTGCAAAGCAACAGCAGTAAAGAAACTGGAACAGACTGAAAAATGTTAGGATTACTGGATGTGGTTAGCACCATGGGTGGAAATGGGGCAATGGGAGCCACAGCACCGACCAAAAGAATCAGTCTCAAAGGAGAAAGCATGAGTCAAATTTTATACTCTGTCCCGTCTATCTCTGTTGAATTTGAGAGGGTTGAAGAATAGCTCTAACATGGATCAAACTTTAATGCATTGAGTTGTATGAGGAAACATGCAACAATATCAAAGTTTGTGGAGGGGTATCTAGTCAAGAAGCTAACAATGGGCCAGGATGGAGATTTTTCTCTGAATCCAAAACCAGTCTGGATACTCCTTCTCTGTAAGTGGAATTTCCAAGTAAGTCACACAAGAAAAGTAAGTTTGTGCCTTAGAATCAGATTTATCTTTACCTAATTCTTTGGATCCAATTCCCTTCTGTTTTCTACAATTGTAAATGACTGCACCAGGAGCAAAAAGCCACTGTTTTGACACCGTGGGGTTTTACCCCTAGCCTGGAAGCTGCAAAGCAGTGGAGAAGCCAGGGAATCAGGCTTTGTGTTTTACAGTGCAGTCATCTGTAAAGCACATTTTTGTGGCACTTCTTTCTGCCTTCTTCAGAAATCCTTTGGTTTTTATGTGCCGGCACCTACAGATCTGATAATGTTTCTCTCATCCGTACTTATCCGTTTATTGAAATGAATCCTGTTTTGGAGGAGCAGATTTGGCAGATGAAAGTCCTATGTGTTTCTTACACAGTCTGGATCCTGAAGATATAATGCTCCTGTATGTCTCGCAAACCCGTCCTGCTGCACTGAAGCTCTTTCAGCTTTAATCCTGATGCATTATCTCCCCTTTTTGCTTTGCTTTACTATTTTTGGTTTTTGTGTGAGCATCGTTCAAGCCAATGCAGAAACAAGTCACAATGTGCTGCTTAAATTTGAACCTAATGCCAACTGATTTTGTGAGGGCTGGCTGTTAGCCAGCCTCCTAATGGATTTTTCTGCAGTTTGTATGAACAGAGGTCACGGGCTGAAATCCTGGAGTACCCAGCAACATATTTCGATAAATGCTTAATAATCTAGGTCCTAGGTAACAGAGCAACTGTTTCTCTCCCTCTGTTTCTCCACGACAGTTAGGGTCGGTTGGCCTGACCTTGCTTTCCATTCTGAAGTTGCACCTGAAATGGCCTGGGGTGAGCATTTCCTCCGTCCAGGGAGCTAGTCGGAGTTGGCAATCCCTCTCTGGTTCTTAGTACCAGAATCACACTGTTGCTACCCTCAGATCCATGACAAGGATTCTTTGAGTCAGCTCTTTGATGATTTCAAAGACTTTTTCATCAGGTCTCTCTCTCTCTTTGCTTGTATTTGTTTCGCATTTTTTATTTGCAAGAACAGCTGACTTTTTGGGGGTAGTAGGGGCAATGTCACTGGGTATGCGTTGTATATAGGTATTGTTTGAATTCATAGCAGCAAACTTGATTTTACAGATGATGTTACAAAACACTGATAAATATAAATTCCATCCCAGAGATGGACCCCAGCCACAGAAAAGTGTTATGAAAGTGAAGAATGATAGACCATATATTGTTTATATCTTGGGATAGGAAGAGTCATTGTTTTCCCTTCTACAAGATGTCCAAGTCTAATTAGATAACCTGAGACTTCCTACTCTGGGAAGGACGCCAGAAATGCAGGAGAGCCTTTGAGTGCATGAGAAAACTGGACAATGAGGTCAAAGCTGGCAACTTGTCTGTCTTTATGAGCAGACTCTCTCTCCCCATAAATTTTGTCTACTTGCTTCTCATACAAACACAGGACGCCATATTCTGCCTGAGTTATGCAAATGCAAGGACATTCACATTTTCTATTGTTAATTATCTGAAGTCAATGTGCACGCTAATCTAAATGAGGTTTAAAATTGAGCTCGGGGAAAATATTTAATTCTCCCACACAAGCAGAAGAAATTACCTTCAGGGAATTATTATTGTAACTCACCTCTTCAAGTTACTGTTATTACCGATGTTGCTGAGCTCTTATTATGTAATGGACATATAGGCCATTTCACAGACCTGAATAAGGTAAAAGTCCAGCTCATGGTCTCAAGTTTGCTTTTCTAATGAATGAAGTCATTCCTTATGACTCATTCAACCATTCAATGCATGGATGTTATCAGGGTGGATCCAGGTGGGGCTCAGTGATTCAAGGTCCACTCAACATTTGAAACAGTCTGGCAGTGGCAGCAGCATTTCTATTCAGGCAAAAGTGAGGGAGTCACTTGATTTCACAACTCCTTGCAATCTGATTCCTTCTAAATTCTTCACTCCACAGGTGTTAACAATCCTCTCTCCTTTTTTAATGGTCTTAATGTTCCACTAATTAATCCAGTCTTATTTCTGCACTTCTCTTATTTCACAGCCCTACCCACTGTTTTTAACTCTAGCTAAAAACATTAACTCAGGTGAACATTAATTCCGGTGTGGGAATAACTTTCAGTGAAGCATTGAATGCACTGTGATATTTGTTTTTATTTTACATACCTGAAAGAGATGTACATTAAATTCTAATGACTACAGGACTAAAGAAGCAACATCTTTGGATTATTTTTGCTTAGTTTGTTGTGTTTTTAACAGACATTGTATGAATAGCAAATGAATGCACATTCCAATAAAGTTACATTTGTTTTTGCTTCAATCTTAAACTAAATAATACAGCCCGAGGCCCCTGGCATATTAGTAATGCTTCTAGTTTCTTTTTACCCAGAAAAAAAATACGTGATGTGTTGTATGTGATGATGCACCACACCATCTGCACTCCCCCTTTTTTCAAAATCCTAGATTTGCCTATGGATGCTGTATGCCTATGCTTCACCCCAGCTGATGACCAGCTCTGGGGGATTCCCAGCTTTGCAGCTGTACTTGGTGGCTGTACCTGATGTCCTCTTCCATCACCAGATTTCACAGCTCCAGATGGAGTGGTTGCAAACCTCAGGCTCTAGTCAGGGAGGAGGCAGGCAGAGTAATTTCAGCTTTATTCCATCACTGTTCCTTGCAAAGAAGGTCTTTGTACAATGAGCAAAGATGATCTTTTCCCTGTCACTTCATTCCCATGCTAGACTAGGTGAAATGAGAGGGAAAAGAAGTGGTATTTATTTATTGCACAAAGCGCTCATGTGTGTAATCCCTATGAAGAACCTCAACTTCATGAGTGTGAGAATGAAAGAATCCCAAATCAAAAGGCCAAATCATTCAACCAGTCAAGATTCACCGGTTTGTTTTCCTAGTGATCTTTAAAAAAAAAAAGGGGGGAAATGTTCACCCTTGGTGCTCCTATACTTCTTCCTCCATCTCTTTGCAATGAAAGATATAAATAAACTGTTCTAAATAAAGCTCAGACTGACTGCAGCATTATACATGTCTGCTAATGTATGTGACTGTCAGCCAAAATAAATTAACCTCCAATAGAAGTCATTTTCATGAAATTAATTATTCCTATGTCAACTAAGAGAGACAGGTGCACTGTCACTATTCCGTCCCGAACACTTTCTCAGAGAACTCCTCAAATAGGCTGCAGTTAGAAGCCTTTAAGATCTGATCTACAGCTACAGCCATCCCTTTGGTTGCCCTTTCAGGGCTGTGAGCTCTGTTTCTCAATTAAACTGAAATATCTAGGTGTGAACAAACAAACATGTAAACGAGGGGTGGGCAATTATTTCAGGTGGAGGGATGCTTAACCAGGTTTGGTGAGCTTTCCAGGGGCACATGGGTAACCTCACCTCTTGACAGCTGCCCCACCTACCCAGTTGCCATCTTGGGACTAGAAGGCCCACCCCTAACCCCTGACCTTTGTCACTGGAAGTCCCTTCCCCTGCCCCCCAGAAATACTCCTTTTGGGAGGTGGCATTACCATCTCAGAACCAGAAAAAACCCAAATCATACACCAAAAGTCAAACACCTACTATAACATATTTAAATTTTATTACAAAAAATATTTTTGTCATGATTTGTGTTTGCATACTGTATATACGGGGGATTGCATAATAACTCAAACATGAAGTCTTGGTCTTGTACATTCTGGAGGGGTGTGCTGGGGGATATGTGTATGTTGGGGTGGGGGTGTATATGGGGGAATGTGTGGTGGGGTGTAGGATGTATGTGGGGGATTTGTGAAGGGGTGAAGCTGTGTGTGTGGGTGCAGTAGGGTATGTTGGGGTACGTATATGTGGGGGGCTGTGGTGTCAGGGTGTGGGTGTGTGGCATTTGTGGGGTGTGAGGGAGGGTGTGGGGAACCCCCCACAATCCCCCTCTGATGCATAGGCCCTGCAGGCAGCAGCAGCAGCAGGCAGGGGTAATTGGGGTGCGTGTGCCTGGCTCAGGCACTGCTGTCTGGCAGCGCGCAACTCCAGCCGGTGCTGCATGTGAGGGCAAGGAGCACAGCCTTCCCAGCCCACCTCTATCACTGTGGCTCCCCACCACGTACATGCAGCCCCTGCCCTTGCACACCACTAGAGGGAAGCATCATGCGCTGGAGCCAGCTGGTTTCTCGACCCCCTGCCATGCAGCTCCCAGGACTCCACAGGGAAGTAGGGGCTGGGGCTCCCCTCCACTTCTGATGGAGTCCCGGGACCTGCACAGCAGGTGGCAGTGAAGGCAGCAGTCTCCAGCATGTGGCACTTCCCTCCACTGGCATGTGATTGCAGGGGCTGCATGTGTACAGTGGCGAGCCACAGCAATAAAGGTGGCCAGCCGGTCTGCACTCCTTACTCCTGCATGGAGTACAGGCCGGAGCATGAG